TGATGACAGAAGTGCCTCCAGTCTTTGGAACTGCATGGTTGAACACAAGCCTTTAAGTACTATTACTTTCCAGCGTTGAAACTGCAGTTGTATGGCTGAATGTGAATATAGCAGCTACAGTGGAAGAAGGAACTTACTTTCCACTAGTACCCCAGGGAGATGGTGCCTGAGCCACTTTAGTTGAATTCTGCAGAGAGAGAGAGAATTAAAAACAACTGATGTAAGGGTCTGCAAAGAGTGACTACTGAACACTGAACGCAAAGGTTTACAGTCTGTATGCACGCTAACACATATCAGATTACTGGCAGACACCTTGTGCTCTGCCACAGCAGCTTCGATCATCCGAACAGAACCTTAAAACTTCCGTCATGCAAACTTGTATTATCGGCAACCACCTGCTCATGAACGTTCTCTTTAGTGGCTCCCACCCTGTGGAACGGCCTGCCTGAGAAGGTCAGGAAGTGCAAAAAAGCAGCACACGCACACCCTCCCTCCCCAGAAAAGGTTTTTCTATAAAAACTCTATGCTTTCCTCCCACCAAGAGAGGCACCACTTGGGTACCCACATGAAAACCAAACGACAGATTATCTGTCAACACTCTTCATTGAGGAAAAAGACAGCTCAGTCTCATTCACTTCAGGGGAAACAGAATCAGGATGGATACTGACTCCAGTCTAAACACACAGTGGTGGGTCCATTGTATCCGCTCCATCTTGCTCCATTCCCCTCCACACTACAGCCTCCACCCCACATTGCCTTTGTTAAAGTGAACCCCACAATCCCCACATAGCATTTTTTGGTGGTGAAAAGGAACCCCTTCTCTCTCTTTTGCCACCCAAATGTTTTGGCAAACTCCATCCCATAATTTATAGTAGTGTTTAGGCTGAAACAACAGGTTTTGTGGGCCCAGGAGGCATAAGGGGGGGGGGGCACAGGTGAAAAATGATACAATGGACCACAGATAGGTGAACCCATAAAAAGGCCACAGCTTTACTGAATACACCGCCTACCAATGGATGAAGCCCCAAACATCAGCCCGCCTGCTGGGGATACAACCGATGAATGGCAAACTCCAGGGTACCACGTGTGTGCCAGCCACTGCATGGCTCCTGTCGCCATCTGGTGGTGAGAGCCCCACTGACAGTCCCTGATCTGGGCATGTCACTGAATTGGCTCCACCCCAAGACCCCTTAAGGGAGTCCCCAGAACGCAGAATGTGGGCACACTGGCACTGCCTCCCTAGCCAAAAGGATCTGTCTCAATGCCCAAATTGCCCCAAGCTGTGACAATAACAATGCAGAGGAAAAAAAAGACCTGTAAAACTGAAGCACAAGGAGGGCGGGAGGGAAATCGCATAACTGGGACGAGGCCCCAGTGTCAGCGTCAATTTGTAGGAGCAGGGTGGGAGGTCCTGGCCCCTTGAGACCACCTGTGGCCCTGCCTCCACACCCAGCCATCCACACACTACCACGGACCCCTACCTCTGCACAGGCCATGCATTCAGACCACGGGAGATTGCATGATCCTCTACTGCTCTGTCCCCCCAGGCCCCGGAGCCCACAAAGGCACACAGGGGTAAGTCCCAGCCGCAGCATGCAGAAATGTCTAGGGGCTGACCTGTGTCATTCCAGTAACCCATAGGTGAAAAAACATGCAGTTTTGTTTAGACCTTCTTTACAAGCAAATAGGTTCAGTAAAATTGTTGGTATTTTTTCCAACGGTCACAAGCTCAGCTATATCTCTAACGTATCCAAATGTTCTCCAAGACAAGAAAGTTACCTTGAAATACTCAATAAGGGCTTTTGAATATTTTACAGCATGGTCTCTTTTGAGTCGAAACATTCTCCAGTATAAAAGTGCCAAACAGCGGTAACTGTAAGGAAATGAGAAGGACCCACTTTTAATAAAAAGATACGGAAAAAGGAAAGAAAAACCTTTTAGCACTTTATATGCGTATTTTTAAAAGGCTAGAGACAGACAATAGTTTTAAATGGGAGAGCAACTGGGGCTTATAGCATACACGTTCCCCCCCCCCCTTCCTGTTCTTATATCATCTACTGTCAATCACATTTTGCAAGCTTGGGAAGCCCTATAGAAAAAAAGCTGGCAAAACATGACTGACTATGGAAGGCAGGGGTACAGGAAAAAACAAGTACACCTTGCAAGCAATGATTACTATTTTGCGTCCCCTCAGCAAGGAAGAAAGGAAGGAAGGAAGGAAGGAAGGAAGGAAGGAAGGAAGGAAGGGAGGGAGGGAGGGAGGGAGGGAGACCGGTTGTCACCAGGCAATTCACAAAGTTCCATATGCTCATCAAGATCTTTCATCCAACTCGGAGCTGCTCTTTGGAAACCCTGCTGGGCATTATCCTACGAACAGCAGCTTATTTGGGGCTATTCATACATGTGAGCCAGCCTCAGGGGAAATGGTCACCAACCCTAAAGGGGCTACTTCAAAAGTTACAAGAGATGGGGGAAAATGAGGACTGGTGCTAGGGTTGCCAGCCCCCCCCTCCCGCCACCAGCAGGGGATGGGGGGTAGAGTTACCAGCTCCAAGTTGGGAAACTCCTGGAGATTTGGGGATGGAGCCTGGGGCGGACAGGCACCTTAGTGGGGTACTGTGCCATGGAGTCTACCCTCCAAAACATCTACTTTCTCCAGGGGAACTCAGCTCTGTAGTCTGGAGATTAACTGTAATTCTGGGGGATCCACAAGTCCCACCTGGAGGCTGGAGGCTGGCTTTCCTAACCTGTGCACCCAGAAATGGTCAGTTTGGTGCTGTAGCACTACAAGGACATTTCTCCATGCAGGTAGTTCAATGTCCACAGTTGCTGTGACTCCCTAACTTGTATAAATTTGTGGTAGATCACCATGGGAATGGATCAGCACATTTATCCTGTGGTTTGTAAGGGCTGGCTTCACCATATCAGCAATGCTGAGGTCTGTCAAAATGCTAGTTGGATAAAGCAGGATCCTAAGGTCTTATTGTGGCTACGTTACCCTGAGATAGAACCTTGTACTACACGTGTGCCAGGCCAGGATTATCTGCATGCTTACTGTCCCTAGGGGTATCTCAACTGGACTTTCCTAGGAATATAATAGGCTCTGTTCTGTTCCCTGCCAAAGCACTGGCCTATGCACTGGGTGAGTTGAACACATTTCTATAAATGCTCAAGATGTAAGGGGTTCATTTTTAAAACAAAACAAATATTTATATTTTAAGCATTCAAATTTACACCATGTTTAAGCATTCAAACTTACAACATGTCTTCAGTAGTGAAGTGCAAAATAGCTGTAATGCTTGGCAAGGACTGCATCCAGGCAGGAGTGATACATCAATTGCTTAGCCACTACAACGGATTAAATTTTCCTCTGCTACCCTTAGCTGAGAATACAGTAACTGTTTCCCCTGTAATAGTTCCCTGCTAGTCTGAGATCTACTATAATTCTTCTAAAAACTGAACCCACTAACTGTCATCCCTCCACCACCCTAACTTGTTGATTTGTCATTTCCTAACTGTCACTTCCCAGTCTTTCCCAGATCTCTAATCTTAACTGGCTGAAGTGGCTATGGATAAATTATGATCAATGCTTCCCGTCACAGTATTTCTTTTTTTAAACTGCAGAACACCCCTGTTTCTGTGTCTGGTTTCTAGAAATAGACTAGTGCTCTGAAAAAAATCCTTCTTTTAAGATCTTTCCTTAATTAACAATAAGCTTCTTCGACTGGAAGTCTTTCAAAATCTGTTAAATGAAATTGCAGGACTGCTTAATTTAGACAATTTTTTTGTTTTGTTTTGTTTGTTTGTTCAACAGAAGTTTTTCGGAATGTGACCTCTGGTTTCTTGTCTCCTAGCCATATTCTGAGGAAGGTCAATTTGATGATACCATGTAAAGTCAAAGGTGAACACCGATATGCTTATTATTTGGTTTTGTGATACCTATTTTATTTTCCTTGGGGTGATTTTACTTAGGTGGGTTGAATCCCCCATTCTCCACTAGATGGCAGTCTCTACTTAGGAGATGAAAAAGTAAAGCCAGGGTCTGTGGCAACCTGCCTTCTTTGCTCTGTATGGGGCCAGACAACACAATAGAGTTTAGAGTCCTCATAACTCTCATCCTGTAACCTTCCCAGGTACAGTGAATATGCAAATGGAAGCAACTCATCTGCTGTGTGACAGCCAGTGAATTAGAGTTGCTTTTTAGTGCCGTAAAAATGAGTCCTCCTCCCGCTTTCCCTCTGTTTGACCTCTCTCCTTAAACAGATGCAGAGACTTTTTTTTTTTCTTTTGGATTAAATCCCACACACTAATGTACTTTTGCTCTGCAGGACTGTTTTCACCAGGGCCCCCCACCCCAACTTTCATTTCCCTCAAACAGAGCTTCATTAAAAAATGAGTTTGAACCATTTCCCAGTTTTAGTATGGTGATTTATTTATTTAGTTTCCACCACGGCAGGAATTTATATTTTTATATCACCTTCTCAACTATGTTTATTTGAAAGCTTTAACATACATTTTAAATAGTACACTTTTAAAATGAACAAAGAATAAAGACCATTAGCATTTGGCTTTTTTTTTAAAAAAAATCAGAGGATATCCTTATTTTAATAGGGCTCAGATAAGCATCACAATGCGGACGTATACCCAGATGTGCAAGTCTGCTTGTGGAGTTCCTTATCAAGGCTCTTTATACTGATATGTGGTTAGATATGGTTAAATGGACTTACAGAAAGCAAGTTTTTGTTCATATTGTTTTAGGCAAGTCTGTATTCTCATTTTTCCCTATCCAGCTTATGTCAATAACATCCTATTCAACAATCTTCCAATTAGATATTCCTGTTTTTCTTCCTAATATGCATCTCACAGAAGCGAGTTTCACCCATTTGCTGAAAAGGTTCAAGAGATCTTTGTTTGCAACCCATCATGTAGGCAAATTGGATGAGTCTCTCTAGAACAACAGTGCTTTGACACCTATCTAGGAGTACTTTTTAATGTTCTAGGTATGGAAATTTCTTTTAACTTGCACTAAATTTACAGTCAAGAAAACCAATCAGACTAGGGTTGCCAGCCCCACAGTGGGAGCTGCTGCTCCCCTTGCAAGTTTTAAAGGGCCCAGCTGATCGGTGGGCCCTTTAAATCTCGCAGGAGGGGAGGGAGAGGGAGTAGCCGCGGGTCATTGTTGTTAGGGGCGGGGCTTGGGGCGGTGACATTCACCCCCTACAGGAACACCCCCAAAGTCCCCTGCTGGGGAGGCTGTTGGGACCTGGCAACCCTATTTACCATACAGTTTTGCCCAAAAACCAGAGTGTCATCCCTGGCTCAAAACTGGAATAAGACCCGAAAATGCCCAACATTGCTTCTGGTCTCCCAGAAGGACATTGGGAGTCCACCACCCCCCGGCTAGCCAGATAAGTTGACCTGGTAACCCTAATTCAAACCACTGTAAGATTCTGCACTGGGTACAGAAGGCAGCTGCTGGATGGCACAAAAAGCTGCCAGGACCATGCTTTTCCAATTTATGTTCTCTGAACCGGTTGCCAGTTAGTCTTGCTCTAGGAGATTTGGGAGTTTCAGACAAGTCAAAACCAGTACAATCCAGACCAGAAACAGTCTCACAATCACTTGAAATCTGATGTCAGAAGACTTTCCCTATGTACCTGTGCCATCTAAAATGGGTAGCCACAAGAAGAGGGTGCTGCAGCTTTGGGAAACCCTGCTACAAAAAGTTCATCTGCTCCCTTCCTTATTAGTGTTTTGATGGCTGCTGAAGATGATCCTTTATTAAAGGGGCGTTTAGGGAACTCACATTTGCAGAGAAAGCTTTGATTTATTTGGTGACTTATTTATTATATTGGGCTGATGACTGATTTTGTCCTGCTCACATTGTAGCTTGCTCTTCTGCTGGTTTAGTGTATTACACTGTTTTATTGCTTTAATTTTTGTTGTTGTAAGCAGCCCTGGGGATCCTATATAGGATGAAAAGTAGAAATGGTTTAATAAAAAGAGGAAGCCATTTAATCGAGCCAGACCCTGAGTTGCTGGAAAATAGAATCTCTGCCCAGATTTTATGTGGTGTGAAACTTAGGGGTCTGGGACCATTTCCGCACAAGCGCAATTCACACAACTTTTTGCCTCTCCAGGAGTATGTCTGAATTTAATGCGTTTTATGAATCCACTTTTGACACAATTTTTTCCCCTTTGGATCTGAACTCAAGGTTTTACAGTGAGGAATTCCTGATTTTGTTTCCCACCAACCGCTTGTGTTCTCAGTGTTGCATGATCGTCCCCCTGCCTTCCCACCCCCTCAGGTTGTCCCAAGCAATCCACTAATTTTTAAAAGTGTAACGCTGATTGCATTCAGATGCAATTTTTTTCAATATAATGCAGGAATGTTGTAACATTGGGACAAAATGGGCAGTGAGGTTTCATGTTGCCTGTTCTTTATGATATACCCAGCCTTTCTTTTTTATAACAATGTTACAATGTTATAACATTACTGCACATGCACACAAAAAAAGGAGATTCTGTTGGTGATGAAGTACATGATGATACGGCTGCACAACCCCTTTTCAAAGGAAGTGTGGAACACATGGGGAGGGTCAGATCTGAATTCAAGAAGAATTCCCTGAAATGCATGCCCTTTTGCAGAAGGGGTGCCACAAATTCAGAGCATCAGCTGGGGATTCAATTTGCCAGGAAACAATGGCAGCACTGAGGTGCAGAAGAGGTCTGGGATCAATGAGCAATCCTCCTGAAGTACCACCGAACAGATGTCTGAGAGCAATCTTTTCCTTCCCCAGTTACATCTTATCTTCTTTAGTGAAAAGAAAAGCTGAAGTTCTAAACACTGAAGATACTGCTCATGCGAGAGCA